AACCTTAATTCCAATTAGCCACACCAAGTAATCATTGAGGGTCAGCCTGGGCTCCTTGGATGCACAGAGGCTACCTGAAGTCAATCCAGACCACATTTCCCTATGGTTGCTCGAGGCCAGCCTCATATCCATTTATTAGGACAGGAGGAATCTGTGGCCATTCCTAGCTGACCACCCTGCGCCTCCTTTGCTCTCCTTAGCAGAGGCTGACCTGACTGTTTCCTGCTCAGACGCTTTCAGAGGGCACATTAACACTTCAAATGTCATAGCAGGGGTCATCTGAGGAGAAGCAGCTCTTTCTTCACCATCAGGTGAGACACCTGCTGAAACCAGGCCACCCTGACTCCACTGTGCAGATGTGTTTTAGTTCATATTGCTGCCTCACGCTGCAGACCACAGAAACAAGATGACATTGGCAGTATCTCTGTGGGACAAAACAGCAGCAGAAGGGCTCAGAAGTCAGACTGCTCTCTGTGCCTCAGCCTCCCCTCCTCTTCCTCACCTCTCCTCCTCTTTCATCTCCTCCTCCCTTCTGCCAGCCTCATATAGACTGGGATGCCTGCAAAGTGCCAAACCTAAATCGTATTCTTTTCAGTGGCAACCTGAGAAATGTTTTAGCCATTTACCTAAATCTTTGACACAAAAAACGCAGCCGGACTTCCTTTAGGCAACAAAGTTACTCCTTTCCTGCAGAAATTTTCTCTGATTTTTCTTCTTGAACCTTAAGCACATTATCATGACTGCATATTAACGTCTAAATGGGGTATCTGGGGTATTTTGAAGCACTGGTTTGTTTTCTGGTCAGCAAACAGAAACAATGCTTTGGAGGCAAATGGGCAGAGCACTATAACTGTTGACACACTCTTCAGTGTCAAAGAAGAATAGCTTTTGCCTAGTTTTAGTTTGAAATTTTTTTCCCTAGAAGTAATTACCATGAATTGGGAGATCAAACTGTCTTCCAGAATAAGTCAAGACATGATGAGGACAGTGAAGAAAAGCATAACAGATCTTGCAAATGATCTAGCAATAAGGGAAGCACTGACTACTCTGATGTGGCCACAGTTGATGACAAGGCCCAGGCCAATGCAGACAGGTTTTTCTTTACCTCTGAGAACAATTTTTCAGCAAAAAATAATGGACATCAGCATCCTAAGAACAGAAAACAGATACAAAATGTAGCAGATTTGATAACTGATTGCTATTCATTTATGTCAGCTCCTTGTTTACACTTGTGGCTATACAGGCTTTTCACATCAGAGAACTAAAATTGCAGTAAAAAATAAGACTGTCATATTAAAGCAGTGACATCTATATTTCGAAAACCTGCAAGACTGATTTGATTTACCAAGTTTTCTAAGAGTTGAGCACACATCTCAACTAAGACAAAATAAATCCAGACTTTATTGAACAACTAATAAGTATTTTAAAATATCTACTTTCTTCTTCTGTAAATTAAATTTTGGCTTATGAGACGGGTGTAGAAGTATTCTTGCTATATTGACTAAAAGAATAGAAACTAATACTACTGCGGAACTAAAACAAAAGAGGAGCTGGAACCATGTGATAAATATAGAATAGATGTTTATTACTATGAGATTAAAGATAAAAATAACTGCATTATTCTCTGTATGTTACTTTTACCTGTTTCCCTTAGTTGTCAGAAATGTTATTTCATTTTACACCTATCAAGAACAGAAACATTCTGAAAGTGTTCTTTTACTCTTTAGAAATAATAGGAAATAGACTGACAAAACTACAACAAATACAAGTCCATTTCTAGAAAATACATGTGTAATATCCCTTTTGATTTTATTGAACTAACAATAAATTAATAACTCCAAATACACCACAACAAGGAATGAAAGCAAAAAAACCCAAAACTTCCTGAGTATGAGGTTTTCAATTTCTGAATATTTTTCACATGTTCAAGCTACATCTCCAATGCAGCAGATGCCAAAACAACATTTCACTGTGGATAATCCCAACTGAATTCCTAAGTAAGCTTCTTTTAAGCTCATATTAAAAAGTGAGTTTATAAAACTCTGGTGGATTTTTTGTTTTGTTTTGTTCTTTCAAAACTTTACTGCCTGACTTATTTGAACAAAGTAAACAGGATTTTTTTTTTCCCTGAAACCACCAGAATTATAAAAGAAATCCCTGTACGTGCTTTTCAGCATAAACAAATATTGACGCTAATAATCAGAAACTCCTGTGGTTTGGTTTGACACACATGATTTCCTCTTCCACTCTAGTTGTCAAGCAGTTGGAGAAAGAACCTGACTTCCACATCTTCCCTTTCACATGAACCCAAATTTTAGTGTGAGTGGGGCTTATTGCTGTCCCCTTATAAGGTTGTTGGGGTTTTTATTTCATGTTTTAGTAGGCATGTGTTTCAATCTAAAGTCAGTATTTAAAAATCAAAAGACAATTTAAAGAATGTACAGAACTTGTAGTAAGAAAGATCTCAAAAAAATTTTTGAATTATGTTCAAGATAATTTATTACCGAAATATAAAAGGGAGGGGTGGAAGGTCTTCAATCATATACTTAAATTTACAGTTTAGTGAAATGTGAATCAGCATTCCCAAAAAACATAAAAATAAAGCTGAGGCATAATTCATCAGCCAGCAGATTTACTGGACTTCTTGAATTTAGTGTGTCCACATTTGGAAAAATTACTGCAAGGATAAAAATATACAGTGCAACAATTTGAAATACCTCTTTTTCTTGTTTCATCCACTTAATATTTCATGCTGATCAAAATTAAATAGCTACAAAATTAAATAAACTACATTTTAACACAGATTAGTATCTTGCAAGGATCCCCATTTCATACTGTAATGTAGTATTTACCTTGACAGATACTGACAAGAAGGAATACGATTAATCTACACTGAGCTAGCTCCACATCATAAGAATTCTCACAAATGTTGCTGTGAATGCAGGAGCCACCCACTCTTGCAGGCAATAGGAGCATTGCCAAGAAAAGGTCATCTGATTTGTGCATACCTTCAAAACTTGTAAGAAATGAGAAGCGCTCAGGCCCAGCCTGGCCTACAGTTTTTTGGGGGTTTTTTTGTGCATAATATATATGTGTTCTAAATTTATGGCAACATTTCTGGAAAACAACACTATCAGGGCAGGAGTTACATTGTCTTTGACTTTAAAGACATATCTATGCGTCATTTTACTAAACTGAATTCAAAGGTAGACAAATAGTTAGAGATCCTTGAGAGAAAGATCTTTGTTTAAAGAAAGATCTTTAAGATATGTCTTTCTTTAAGATATGTCTTTCTTTAAAGTGTATATGTATTCATGTAAGCAGATATCTCCCCAAAGTCAGATTTTAAAATGACGCCCACAGGAAGCAGAATTACTACCTTACAGGTATATGGACCAAACTTCACCCTCAGTTTGCAGAGATGCAATCAAACTACCTCTTTCACAGACAAGCTAAGTTTTCTGATATATTGGCTTGCTTGCAAAAAGAAGAGCCAAAGGAAACTATATATTTTGCAAAATAAGAAGTATAATCTGATGGGGAATTATATGGGAGCGTTCTATCAAATTATGTTAAAAAGAAAAAACACAATAGGAACCTCTTCTAAATGCTCACAGAAACTGAAAGCATCTGAGCCAAACATTGTGTAGATGATTACTCCAATGACTGTCTGATCACTTCAACATCAATATAATAATCAATATAAAAACTGGGGACACGTAACTTCCAAATCCTATGTATATGTAGACACTTACAAAATATACCAAACAAATCACAGATCACAATAAAAAGCCCCCTTACAGTTTAAAATTTACTATGAGCTGTAGTGGAAATATGATTTCTTTTTTTTAATTCAAATATAAAATTTTGTAATGACTAACATTTGAGCATTAGTTTTTTTAATCAACACCAAAGTACAAAGTTGCTTTTAATGGTTTAACCTGTACTAGAACACCAGTTTTGTTAGAAATACTTCTGCTGAAAACTTCTTTTCAGTCTTTATTCTAAAAAAATCATATTGCACAGATTGATTTTTCTGTTTTCTGACCTTCAACTGTTATCAGAAGACATCTACAGAAACAAATGTGGATGCTGCCTAATATAATTGCACCACTGTTAGACAACAGTCCTACATTCTGCCTGACATTAACAACTTAAATGCCAAATGGAATATACTATTCTTTGTGACTTCTAAAATCTTTCTTCCAATTGCAACTTTAAAACATTGAAAAGCTAAAATATTGTAAAGACAGGCAAGTCCTAAAAGTCAGATTATATTCAAGATGTTCATATTAAATCCACAGAATATTCAAATTCATCAACTCAAAATGAGAAAAATTGATGGTTGTGGGTCCAATAATCTGCTGCTTTATTGTGCAACTTTTTCTTAGTATGTGAAAAGATTTGAAGAAAAGTTTCCTACAAATTTTTCAGTCTGTCATGACTACTGTTTAAACCAAAACTTTATTCTTGGTTTATTTATTCTTGGTTTATCTCTGCATCAAAATCAATAATAAAGAGAAAGTAGTATTTCTGCAATTTCCTGAAGAGCCTTTTGCACTCAAGAAAAGTGAGCATGGGGCTGAGTGGGCTCTGACTGAAAATGAATTATTTGCACATGTATACATTCATTTATTTAGTAAGGAGCAGAAAGAGAAGCAAAAATTACTACCACTTGGAAATAAACTTGTCACAGTCATCTTCCTAAGAAAATATAACTTGGAACCATGACCCACATCATCAAAAATGGCACTGATGGGAGAGTTCATCCAGGTAAGGGGTGACCTGCTCCTGGTGATTTGTTAATCTGTACAAGAAAGGCCACCACAAGAGAATGCAAGGGGAGTCAAGAAAGCTAATTCTTTTCTTTCCTTGTCTGTAGGGTCTAGCTAGGGCAGAGAGATGCTGCACTCAGTCACCTGTATTTTGTAATTTTGGACAAACCCTTGGCAGTGATAAAGAACAGGTTTTGAAGGATGCAAACACATGAGCTGTCTGCTTCACAGCCGTGTATCACACTCAGAAGGCTTATCTGCATCATCAGCTTCTTCAGTGCTTGCTTCCACTTCTATTCCAAAGGCTGGACCAGCAGTTTCTAGCATGTAGTCACTTCTTCTCAAATCTATGGCAGGAAAACAAATTCAATAATGCAGCCAAGTCTGAAAAGCACAAACATCTCAAGCAGTGTTCAAGCCAATAACTCATGGCAGTTTATTTGATGTTTCCAGGAGGAAGAAAATCTGGAGCAAGGCAAATAAGAAGCAGGTGGTTGAGAGCCCTGGGGAACTCAGCGGTGTGAGCCCTTATGAATGAACCTTCCCTGACTGTATTCATTCAGCTGATTTTCCCCTCTGTTATCTCCAGCTGCCACAGACAAAAATAATCAAACCAATAATACTGCAGTTTCTGTTTCAGAATCAAATAGCAATTATTACTCCATGTAGGCAATGAAGGGAAGGAGCTTCCTCTACTGAAAAAAAAAATCAGTGGCTGAAAGTCATACAGAAAGCAATCTGTTTTGGCTTTCAGTCTTTAAAACCTGCTATACATCACACAGAAGCACATTCTACCAAATGTAATGTGAACAACAGGCAATCCGACCAAGCCTAAGTAGGGGCTGCAGCAGGGCCAGAAAACCTCCAGCTTTTCCCCAGCTGATGCATTGCAAATTTTCTATTGTTACTCTTTCTTACTGTAAAAATTATTGCAGATGTTAGCTGTAGTGACGATCCTGGAAAATAGGCTCCTATTTAGCAAAGAAAGGGAAAAAATTCAATAGGAAGAAGCTTTCATGCTGAATGGCAACATCAGGTTGATGAGGTCCCACTCTTACATGGATGTTAGGCAATAGAGCAGTATTCTAATAGCTGCCTTTGTACAGGAAGACTACGGCTACCTGAGTCTTTCAGCTCAACAGAATTTCAGTTCTTGTCTTTATAGCACATTGAGGCCTTTACTTTGTTGCACTTATAAAGTTATACATAGATTAAAAATTAATTTTTACTTTGCATACCGGGAAGTTTCAGCTTTCTGCAGCAAGAATTACAACGATGCTTTGCAATGAAGTTTCTTATTGCATCTTCTCCTAGGTTTGCTGGTCCAAATACCATTTTTCCAGACCTAAAAGAAAGATTCTTTAAAAATCAGTGAATCTAAAATGAAGCAATTATAGGGGAGGGAGATGATGCCATTTTTATTTTTTTTAATCAGTTAGCCCTTTTTATCAAGACAATCAAAGGTTAATACACATTAAAATTTTCTTAGATATGAGACAAGAAAACTGTCAGTTCCAGTAAAATATTAGCCTAAATATATCCCACACTACTTTTTTTTTTTCTCTAAAGGCAGATAGGACACACCCATCAGTGTCTACTAAGAGGCTCAAAGGAAATCTGGTCACAGTGACATTTTGATGGTGCTTGCTATAATTGGTATGATTCTGCTGCAGCCACCACTTTTTCCCAAGCAAGTAGTCTGGTTCCAGTTTTGATGCTGGGTATGTGAGAACAAAACAGAGCTAACAAGGACTTATTTTCTCTTCAGTTAAAACCAGAAATGCAAAGTCTAGCAGAACCCTCACCACAAAAACCTGCAGCACAGAAAAATGGAAAAAAAAAAATTAAAACCTCTGAACCCACAGTATGCAGCTGACAAGCAAGGTTTTAAAATGTATTGTCTTCATCCTGTGCTCATCTCCATGTGTCAGTTCTCTGACCAATTCATCAATGCTACTAGGGGATCCATTTGTGGAACTATATTGCATATTCTGAAAGAAACTGCCACAATTACAAACAGAAACCACCTCTATCCACACACATATTGGAAGTACCCCACAGTTACTACAGATTCTTAAGGTAGTCTGAAAGCTACACTGTATTTTAGTATAACTGCACCTTTACTCTCAAGAATTTGACAGTCTAGACACTATGGAACACAGCACACAAGAAACACTTCCAAAGAAACTTTACAAATACCAGTATTTTATTTTAATGATATGCAGAGGGGAAACAGCACATTTCCGAATCTGAAATCAATTACAGCTCTGAGAAGCTATAGAAAAAATACTTTAATTCTATCAAATCTATCTGTAATTCACACTAACAAAACTATATTCTCTCTAGGGAAAACAGTGTTCAAACATGAAACTTTTCCCTTTCACACAAGACAACAGCAATGATTAACCGAAAGTACTATACAAAATTCCGTATCTTTCTGATTTCTTGCAGACCCTGGAGAACATGTGTCTCCTGGATCCTGTGAAGCATTCATCTAATCATCTTATAATGCAAATTAATACATCAAAGAAGGAAAGAAGTGAATTATCAATCAAGGGCCACACTTAAATAACTTTAAATAACATGATGCAGTATAGCCATTTCTATGCTTTCTGGAATCTGATTAAATGCTATAGAAATAGAATGTACCTAAGTATTTGCTTGAGCAGATATAGGAAATTAGGAAGACTTTGCTAATTTCAAGGCCACACAACCACTCTGATACCTCCTCTAATCTAACCATTACTCCAAGCAAGGTGAAGCAAGTAAGACAGAATGATATCTTCTCACACTGTTTTGAGATAAAAAGGTATACTCTCTGTAATATACATGAAGTAACCTTTCGTGTCTACTCATTATAGACAATGCTTCATGAGGAATACTGTATTTAAATTTGGAAAATTATTTCAAGGAATCTGGGGATAAATGGGAAATGATCATCAGCCTAGAAACCGTAACATGTAAAGATTAGGGAGTAGTTTAACATGAAAAAAAAAAGATTGAAGGAGAAGACTGTTGATTCTTTTTTCTCTGAGTTATCAGTAGGAAGCATGAGAAAGAAACATTTCAATTAAAAAAAAAAAAAAGAAAAAAAAAACCAAACAAAACCAAACAAACAAAAACAAAACCAGGAAAAATCTTTCAGGCAGTGATAATATCATACAATTAGAAACAAATGCTCTGTGAATGTATCAGTTCTTTCCAGTCTGAAACTCAGAACACTTTTCCTCATCTCTGAATGTCAGAATGTATAATATCCCTGAAAACTCTACCCTCATTAACTTTGTTTTGGCCTTACAAACTAGTACATGTTACAAAAAGCACCCAAAGCATTGCTTTTGAGGCAATTCTTCTCAACGTTTGGGTAGGGCAGAAGTCTACAAGGACTGTGTTAAACTGCTGCTGTGCTGTTTTAAAGGAAATCTTCTTGTGTATGTCATATCTGTACCATTTTATCACTTCATACATTCTGTGCAGTTCCTGTGGCCAGATCTTACACTGATTTGCACCAGCTCAGGTTCTGTCTGAGCTGTCACAACATCAGGCGTACTTTCCAAACAGATCTATTATATTTGTCTTGACCTGGATATAAAACCAAGACATAAAGCTATCTTTATGGACTACCACAGACCTGGAGGTCACACTTCGTCACTGCAAAGACCTTTTCAAAACACGATATGGGATGCATGAAATAAAAGACTTACATAACACATGACAGGAAAATGACATGAGCCAATAAATTGATGGAGTTAAAAAAGCAGAACATAAATAATTTAACTATAAGTAAAGCTAAAATTTCAATCAGTCCCATAAGTCAGGAGCCATCTATTTTATCCTGGGTTTTCAAGAGAACATGAATGCAAGGTATCTTTTGAGGCAGGTTTTGATTGTATCAGAGTATCTCACTTACAAAAGAAAACTTAAAACACGTCTTGCCTCTATCAGAAATGTTTCTCCTGTGAGAAAATGAAGGTTAGAGCAAAGACAGTGCTTTAACCATGTAATTCTTATTACTCTTTTACAAAGCATTTCTAAGAATTGGGTACCTACTTACAGAAAACACCACAGTTTCACTGCTTTATTCCTTTATAGCCCTAAATCAACCAATATTGTTTTACTAGTTACTGTTCTGAAAGTTTCCCTGAATACAAGAAAATCAAGCTGGGTTTGATTAATTAATCAACACCTGCTCTTTAACTAGGACTACCTATTTTGCAGATGATAAACAAAAAGAAGTCCTAAAAATAAGATCAGTAAACAAAATCATTTAATAGCAAAACAATAGAGAAGAACACTAATAAAAATAAACTTCACGGTAATTAATGTAGGTAAATATTATCCTTATGTTAAAGAGGATAAGCTGACTTGTCTTGTGAACTACTTTGGTCAGTGCCTCTCTGCTGTTTACAGCAATAACTGTTACTGTTTATGTGACCACAGACATAAAAAATCTACTTGAATAGTAGCAAATCAGAATTTCATACATCTGTACCTTAAAGAATTAAAATTTGCTAAAGTCATGAGAACAACTACACGATTGACCTCTCTGCATCTCTAATTTGAGCTATCTATGTGCTTCTGTCATGAACATATGGTCTACTTAGGGCAAAGACTTTGTCACCGAGAAGCACTCAACATATCTTTGCTCTCATATATTTGCTGTTTTCAAAATAAATTTTAAATGTACAATACACCTAAAGTCATAATTAAGCATTAAGACAGTCGTTTATTAATTATCTTTTTGAAACACTGATTATGGTCGCGGAACTAAGAACTTGCTTACAAAATTAACTTGGATTTCCAAGTTGTAGGCAAGTAATCTGACATTTCTATAGTTAGTTCCTCTTCATATTAAATTAGACTATTTACATTTGCATCTCCCTACCTTCCTACCGTCCAAACATGAGACTTCCCTTCAATCAAACAGCACGAGCTGAGCAAGGGTCAGTCAAGATGAGCAGCAGAAAGGGGAGGGGCAGGGATGTCAGGGCAGATCTGGAGAAGGGTGGGGTTTGGGAAGAGTAGGAGAGCTGTAGGAGAGCAGCCATCAACAGCACTGCTTCTGCTCTTACTGCAGGAAATACCACTGAAGAGCAAGGTCACAGAATGGGAGAGCAGCCATGGCTCTGATTCTGAAATTTGATTCACAAAGGCAGACTGCTGTTTTTCTGTGTCTAGTCTATCCAGTTTTTGTAAGTAAGTTCCCACTCATGATTTACCATCTGCATATCACATTTCTGAAATCATGCTGCATGCTTAAGTGCAGAACTAAAACCTATTGGAGAGGGGCATGGGGCCTTCTCTTCATCCTCTTAAGCCATTGTGGCCCCATATACTCCTAGAAAAACTCAGTGGAAACTGGACTGCCACAATCATATCCTTTGTACAGCTCTGTGAAGAGATTGCTCCCAGCACAGCAGTGCAGACCCTCTCGCCTTTCATACACCTCTTAGCCCACGTGAGAGCTGGGACACTCACAGTCCTTCAAAGCATGGGAGAAGACCCAGTCACTCCAGTGGCATCATACTATTGTTTAACTCAAACACCATGTGGAAAAAGAAATTAAAACCTCCCCCACAAAATATAGAAAACCATCCTAAATATACAGACTGCTGGCTGAGTGTCTGAAATGAATGAAAATTTCAACAGAAAGAAACCTACTTTTTATCTTCAGGTTTAATCACAGATGGATCTGTAAGGTTTTCCCCAACACCTACAACAAATAAACATTGTGTGTGTTACAAAGGAAGGTAGTCATGATTTCGTAATCTGGCACTTAACAAAAGATGTAATTAACCATTTAATTGATACATCATAAAGTGTCATAGTTAAAGTGAGCTAGAATGAAAATGCTATGAGTATAAATATTTGTAAAGTACTGGCAATACAGTTACAGTTCTTCAGCTGCTTTGAGGTTAATTTATTTGTAGATGGAGAGTGTATGAAGATACAATAAATATTATATTGAAGCTCAACTAACTAAAATGTGACCAACCAAAACACTGTTATTTTACTTGGAGTAAAGGTACTTATCAGATACGGATCTTACCAGTATCAATAGAGCTACTTTCAGACACACATTCTCTTCAAGGTAACAAACACAAGAAGCCATAACTTCATGATGTGCAAATATTTGCATCTGTTATCCCTTTCTCCATTTGGGGGGCCAAGGAAGCATATTAAGGAAATAATTACATTATGACACCTATGTTGCAGTTTTCACCAAACTGATTAAAGTATATTACCTTTATGAAAATCATCTTTTCTTGAATCTGAAAAAATTACTGAGCTTTTACACTAATGAAAAATCTATGGTCATATGACCATGTGATATCTAATTTTTTTTTTTTTTTATTTCAACATGGTTAATTTAAGTTTTGCAACAAAAATAAAGATTCTGGAGATAGGATAATGCTGCTGAAATACCCCAAGACTGCAAAATAGGCCATTTCAGTTAATTTAAATTAGGCAAAATGTGTACATACATATATGTGTATGTGAAGATGGCCATGGTATTAAATAGTAAATTGTTATCTAGATTCATCCTAGTAGAACTCCAAGGAGAGCAGCCCTTGCACTTTTCCTGAGTTTCAAATTTAGAGAATTAAACATGAGGCAAAAACTAGAGCTGATCTCTGTTTAAGATGAAAACTGAGATTTACATAGATGTTTACTCCATTTTTGAGCCAACACAGTTGCTCTGGAATTTTGAGAGTTATGTAATAAGCCTGAGCAAATGTCATTCAAATTCTTATAGGCTATGGCAGAGACACATTTATTTTTTCTGTATAATTTCTTTTTTTTTATGTGCAGCTATAGCAAATCAAGGCAAGTATGGAATTATAAGCTTATTTTGCATAATAAGTGTGTCTTTTTTGTAACTTACAGCTTCTGGATGCCATAAAATATAAATATGTTAAGTCTCTGGCTACCCACAGACTTTTCCCTTGACAGAAATGAAAAGTGATAGTGTTTATACTGTTTGATGGGTGATGTGATGTTCATCTGAACATTGTCAACTGTTTTATCTCCTCAAAATATGCCATCTTCCCACTTACATATGTACAGTAATATGATCACATGCTCTTTGAAGGAGTCACTAGACTTTGTGAATAGCATTCAGGTTTACAGCTTATTTAAACTGCACAGATCTATTAATATGAACAATAAAAAATGCAGAAAGTTCACACATTTTTGACAGATTTACATACATACTGTGTCCGTACGTACCCGAATACATTTGAATCTCTGTATTATTTATACATTTATGAAAATATTTATTTATTAAAAATACAACTACCTTAACTGTGGAGTGGCTTTTCTGGAGCTGGATGAAATGTTCCTGCAGTTTATCTAAGTGCTCTTTTGGTCTTTCAGCCTGGAGGCATTTGAAGCAATATTATTTTCCCATTACACCTACATTAACCTAGACTGTTTCTGTGGATTCTCATTTACTGGCATCACACAACAGATATCCAGAGGTTTTTTGAGCTTTGCATTTTCTCATCTAAGTGAGAATTTGGCCCTAAAGTCTCTTTTGAGATTATTACTTCTCATCTGGTTTCAAACAGCAGTCCTGTGCTAGCAGTCACCTTGCATATCCAGGACCAGGAGCTCCCCACGGGTGTAGACGTAGGTCCAGTGAGAGAAGGCCAGCATTAGCTCTTCCAGCAGGCTGATGGGAGTAATCTCATCTCCATTGTTGTTGTTGTATTTCCGAAATTCACCAGTCATGTACTTCTCGATGGTCAACCACTGCTTTGCTGAATGGCAGTAGATGAGGAAAACTTCCAGGAACCTGTAAGTATAAATACTGCCTGCCAGCAGCTGGCAAGGTAATGAGCATCCTCACAGTCAGCAGCCATCAAGATGCAGAGCAAACATACCAAAAAGGAGGACATGTCTTCTTTGACTGGAGCATTTTCAACAACAGTAGGTAGGTAGAAACAATAGAGAGAACAAAGGCTTTTTTGGTCTGACAACTCTCAAAAAAAAGCACCTTATCAGAAAGTATAGTTTATGAGCAAACAACATAATCTGATTTACCCTAGTGCACTGTAAATGAGCTACACCCAATTATTTTAGTTAATTATGTAAAAGGCAGTTCTTGCTTAAGTCTATGGAACAAAGTGTTTATTTTTCCACTACATGTAACTATAAGGACAAACTTCAAAGCTGCCAACCTTTCCTCTTAAAAGTTCATTACTTATCCTTAGACATCATCATTAGCACTGCATTACCATTGCAACCCACATTGGAAAAGGAGGCTGAAAAGAGAAACTTCAGGTACTTTCACCTAGTACCTAAAGACTTTGAATTTACCTTGGAGTATAGGGAATAGTATGAGGCTTCACTTGGTTGAAGGTATAGATTAACTTCTGGGCAACTCTTTGCTGTTGAATCTCCTGAAAAAAAGATAATATTATAAACAGTACTTCGTTTTCATGAAGAAAAGTGTCATGAATTTATCAAAAAAAATGAACAATCACACACATACCCTGATTATCTAGTTTTTACAAATCAAATATACAACTTCCATCAGATACAAATCAGATACAACTTCCTCAAAACCCTTTTTCTTTCCAAAAGATAACATCCAAACACATGTCAACCTTGTTGAAGACATTAACAAGTCTAATATCAGGCTAGGCCTGATGTGTTGTTCCTTCAGGTCTGAACTCACCCTGAGACAGAGATGTAATACTGTGCCATGGTGAAAGATCTTTTCCCAAGCTTGAACCACCTCTGGCAGGAAAGACTTCACAATGAAAACCTGTCCCAGCTTTAATACATCACTCTCAGACCAAGTGCAGATGACCTTCATGGCCCTCCGCAGACCCCCATCCATCTCCTCCCGTGACAGGACTTGGATCATTGCAGTTGTGCCACACTGGGACCAGGATGACATGCTTTTATCAAGATTCAGAGGTGAACTCTCTTCTAGCTGATAGACTGTCACTTCCTCTCCAGCTTAAATAAAAAGAAGTTTTGTTAGCAAAAGTCACTGGCAGAAAGAGGAGAGAACAGAAGTTTCATTTGGTGTCTTTAAATAACATAGCTCTTTACACACCTTTCTAAGCCACATTTCTTTAAAAAGAGAACTTTTTATCATAACTGTTCATCTGTCTGAAAACTTCCCCAGCCTAAACTTACTTACTATTTATTCTTCTACACATTCATTCTTCTACTATGATAATAGGTGGTCGAAACAGCTTGTCTTAAGCCTCTAAACAAAGAAAAATTCAAGACCTCCTGGATTCTTCCACACAAATATGGCTCACTGATACTCTAGTCCATAGTAGCCATTTAAAAGAACATATTTTTAAAGGGTCACCATTTTTATCTCCAGTGTGCAAACTCTAAATATCTCATGTGTAATTCCCTCTCTTTATGCACTTATATGAAATGAGAATTTTTAGTAAGACTTTTAAATTAATCATAATCTGTGGAACACTCCCTGATTTTTTCTTTTAACTCTGTGTTTCACAAAGTAAACCCCAAAAAGCAACAAACACACCAAAACAAACTTGCAGGAACAGAACATCTACATTCAAATCTTAGTCTAAAAATAGTTTAAATAATAGTTTAAAATAATAGTTTAATATAAATCTAGGGGGAAAATCATAACAACAACGCAAACAGTTTGCAATAGTTATTGAATATTAAAGAGATTTAACTTTGTAGTTGATACAATATCGGCTGTAGTCAAGAATGCCACCTTTTGCTGCAGAGAGCTGAGTTTGTTTCAAAAATTGTGACTTGGCCATGATGTGATGAGCCAGGGAAATTAAATTGAAAAAGACATTTCCAGGAGAACGAGCTAAAGCTTGTTCAGGAAGCTCATTCAGGAAGCTCATTCAGGAAGCTCATTCAGAAATTATGAAGAAGCTTACAGCTTTGGTATTTTAAACTAATATTTTGGTTTTTTTTTTTTTTTCTAGAAATTCCAATGTTATATGCAATGATGAAATGTTTGAGGTTTTCTGCTCCTGCTAGTAACATTTTTTCTGCAAGCAGAACCTAGTGACTTTTAACTCAGTTGCACTCTCTTTCCCCCTGGAGAGTTGTAGTGGCATTCCTCTCTTGCAGCAGAAACAACACTTTTCTGTTGCCATTTGTAAACTAACAGCAAAGTGGACTGATTTTTTTAAAATCTGGCTTTCCTTCCTACAACTCACATAATTTGTAACATTAATTAATAAGAAATAGGCTTTCACTGGCAAGTATGATGAGGTAACTAAATTGCCAAAATAGCAAAGACCATCATAAGCAATTACAAATTGAATTCAGACTTGTAGATTTTCTCCCCACTTTTGAGCTTGCCTTTCGCTAATTAGCACAAATGCAGATGCTGTTGAATCCAGTAATTTAGGCACATTTTAATTTAAAATAAAGCAACTGGAAAAGTCAGTACCTTACATAAAAGACAGGCACTTGAATAAAGATAGTATAACTAGACACATTTTTTAATCTTACATTAAGTCTTTATTTTATTATCTTTTGACAATTTAATACCTAGAAAGCTCTCCTGGGAGCTTCAAAGATTAGATTAGTTGCTATGATCAATTAGTTGCTGTGAGACAAAGTATTCTACCTATTGAGAAGGCAGCATCTAGATATCAAGAGTCTAGAGGCAGACCTTCTGCTGTTGTAAGCCAATACTGCACACTATTTTCAGAACTCTTCCCAAAATTTTATGGATTATGCTCTACCATTCTTCAGTTACAGTTACAACAAAGATTTTTTTTCCTTGACAATAAAGACACTAAAAGTTTTCTGTGCCAGATAAAAGGATAATGCTCTTTAAATCACTACCTGGTTTTCTTCTTGATGGCATATCCTATACATAGATTTACATATGCATCTGTGTTTGTGTCAGCATGTGTGAGAGAGAAACAGAAAGAATGAAGTTATCAAGGTTAAGTGGAAGCTTCTTGCTGTCTTCAGGTATCCCAAGGATGGATACATAGAAGATGGAGTTACACTCATCTCTGAGGTTGACAGCAGTCACGTGAATACTAGCAGATACAAGATACAGCAAGGGAAACCCCAACAAATACACAGAAACCCTGGATTCATGATTAGGTCAATCAAACAATGTAAGAGGTTGCCCAATGAAAATGAGGAGTCTCCATTTATAGACAAAATCAAAACGCAATTCACAAGTGCCTCAGCAATCTGATTCAACTGACCATGGAAGGAGTTGGAAAAGGTGACCACCAGAAGTCCCTAACTACAGCACAACTACCATTCTATCTTGTTTTGTCTCTTTCAGAAAAGAAGAACTGTTGAAATAAATCCAAGACAATTTCTCAAACATGGGTTTTAAAAGATAATGCACCAACTATTTATAAAGCAAACATAAGCTAGAAGTTGGTACTCACCAAAGAGCTGGACTGGTGTAAATGGTATGGTCTGAGCAAGTCTCATTAAGTTGTTTCTTTCAACAGCTGCAAAGAACAAAGATTTCACTGCTAGGTTGAATAAACAAGCTGACTAAGTTTGAAAAATGCTTGGCTGCACTTTACTGCAGTGTACAAAGCCAAGGAGGAGGCAGCAGTGTGACACTGTGTCATATCTGATCACCATTTGCTTTACCCAGACAGCAGCTCCCCTTTGCACACTGCTGTGTTTCAGGAATGACATTCCCCAGTTTGGTGTTCCCACTGAAACATGTCAAACCGTGCACCATTCTCTCACTCCTCCTCCTCCCCCTGCCCTTGCCCCTGCTGGGGCTGCAGAAGAGAACGGAAGGCACAAAGGGTAAAGATCATGGGTTGAGATAAGAACAGTTTGCTGGAAACAGCAGCCAGATAAGGAAATCAACAGCAGCAACAAACTGATGACAAGGGGCACAAAATAGGAACAATTCACATGGAAAACCCCTGACAAGACAGCACTACCTTGATCCAGAAGGGACCCTGCTCCCCAGAAGAGAATCCCTTCCCCACAAGCCTTGGCAATGACCTGACATGACAGAGAACAACCCCTGGACCCTAGCCAGGCCCCTGGCTGGCTTCTGCAAGTAATTAACCCTGTCCTAGTCAGAAACAGGAGAGAAAGAGACCAGAAACTCAGCTAGCATTAAAACTTTGCATCTGGAATCATAACCCAGATTCCAAATTCAGTCATTACTCTCACACAGGCTTCAACAGGCTTCAGTCTCTTCTACAGGATTAACTTCAGTGTAATTTATAGTGACAGCTGACAGTCCAGGTCTCCTTTAGACATTTCAGAAGTTAAAATACCCTAGGAAATGGAGATAAATTCTTCACTTTTCCTCTTGTAAGAAACCAAACATCCTTCAACAACCCAGATGCAACTGCCTCAGGCCTCAGCTGTACTACTTGTCCATTTAGGGGCAGGTTAGGTGTAAACATCTGCAAGACTCTGGAGATGTGCATTCTAAAAGAGAGAGTATTCAGTGGAGATGAGTGAGAACTAACTGGTGACAAAGAAGCAGATTTTTAAAACCAACCAACTAACAAACCAACCAAAACCAAACCCCAAAACAACTGGAAGGAAATGCAAGAGGTGAGCTGCTTTAGTAAGGTATTTCTTGATACCCAGAAGCCATGAAATTAGGTCTGCACCCCACTTTTTCCAATCCAGGCAAATTAGGTTTGTTTTATTCAATGCTCTGCCAAAGCAAACTCGAGAAGGAAGTCTCCTACACTCTTGGGGAACAAATAATGAAACTATTTTAGTCAGTGGAGAATTAAAGAGTTGTGGCAGACTGGCACTGTAGAAAAGACTTCAGTTCTATTCTCCCATGCATGATGATGGCTAGCTAAAAGTCAGAAAGCACTCAGGGTTACCAAAAATGCCCAAATTTTTGTCAAGATAATTCAACACAGATTAGTTTTTCTGTATCTCCTACACCTTTTCCCTAGCTGAGACGCTTAGTAGGATTCCACAGAACTTGCCAAAAAGAAGTCAGATACATCCTCCTTCCAAGTATATACATAGATAGAGATGTATATGTACATAAACACTGGTATGTCCATAATCAATGGCCAAGATATCTGTTGAGTTCTTTGAGTCCATGCTGTGGATTCTGTCTGTCCTAGATGCCTTCCAGGGCAGGAGGGCTGCTGTGCTGTCAGGTGGTTGCAAGCTACATCATGAGCTCATGACCAGTGTATCTGGCACAGTCCGTACTCACTGTCCATGGTAGTTATGGCACACAGTGCCAGTGTCATCCAGCAACCAAAAATACACACACAGTTTGGCATTACAAACTGTTGTCACTCAAAAATCAAATCCCCTTCAGGTACACATCCTGTTCCCCATCCATCTGCATTTCTCCAAAAGTTCAATCAGGTCATTGAACAAAAACATTCCCATGGGTGGGTTTGCCTTTGCTTGAGACAGGCTAATGCAAACTGACTTCCCAAATACATTCTTTATATGCACCACAGGGTCTTTATCCCCTTCTACAGTACATGAAGCTTTTGATTGAGCTTGATTGGTGGAGCCTCTAGTGTTAACTAACCAGGTGGTTTTTGCTAAATCTAGATCCCAATATTTCAAAGTCCCACCAATGTGGTTTGTAGCAATCCATTTTATTGTTCAATATTCCTAGAGGCTGGTGCATGACAGAGAACACAATACCCATTTTGATACTGTACTCTCTGACCCAGAGTTCTACGAAGCTATTTTTGAAATGGGCCCTATTGTCTGACTGACCTCTTTCTGGGGTGCCAAGACAGTGTTCTGGGCACTGGGGTGAGGCACAGGGTGTATCTCTGCCATCAAGTGTTTTTGTCATTGTATCTACATAGAGTTTGCCTTGGCACATGTGCAATACAAACAATGCCAGGCCTCTCCATATTTATATTTTAACCATCATCCCCCCATACCACAGAGGCTTTATCCCCTTTTCATTTCAGCACATTTCACAGTTATCAATAATGTCCATGGTTAATACTGCCCATGGTTAATCCACCCCTCACTCACGAGCCCATCTGTATTGCTGCATCTCTTCCCTGACGACCTGACGTGTCATGGGCCCAATGAGCCAGAAATAATCACCCTTATGATGCCAGCCCAGGCCCACCCAAGACACTTTACTCTTGGCAGCCCAATCCACCTGTCCATTGTTGTAATGTTCTTCAGCAGCCCAGCCCTTGGGGGTGTATGCATCTACACAATGTGCTTTTACAGCAACCTCTCTGCATAGGCACTGGTGTCTTTCCAGAGCTCAGCAGCCCACATGGGTTTACATCTTCACTACCTATTTATCTTTTTCCATTGGTCCAGCCACCCCTGCAGTGCATTTTCTGCCATCCACAAGTCAGTGCAGAGGTGCAGCACTGGCCATTTCTCTCATTCAGCGATATCTAAAGCCAGCCGGATGGCTTTCAGCTCTGCGACCTGACCTGATGCACCTTGTCCCTCCGTAGCTTCTGTGACTCAGCATGTAGGACTTCATATAGCAGCATCCTGTCTTTGGTGGGAGCACCCTCCCATAGAGCAGGGAACATCAGTGAAGAGACCATATAACTTTTCATTTTCTGGTAACTGGTTAAATGCTGGGACCTCCTCAGCACAAATCACCTTTCCCTCCTCTGCTTCCAAAGATATTCCAAAATTTTCATCTTTGAGCCAATTTGTGATGATTTCCAAGATTCCTGGGTGCTTGGGATTTCCTACTGAAGCTTGTTGTGTGATCTGAGTGATGCACTTATTCCACGTGTCATCAGTGTCATGATGCATGTCAGGGACTTTCCTCTCTGAACATCCAGCCCAGCACTGGCAGTCAGGGTGCCAGGAGGAGCTGTGCTTCAGTGCCATACACTTCTGAAGAAGCTCAAACATCTTCATGAGCTGCCAGGGTTTTTTTCAGTTGGAGTGTGGCGGGCCTTGAGTCCTTCGTATTCTTGACTCCAGAACCACACGGATCATTCTCAAGCCTCCATGGGTGCATTTTGTCAGAGACTCCAGGAAGGACCATTCTCCTCATCTGCAGTGTAGAGTAGTTTTCACATCTTGTCCAGTCCTAACTGGCCCACTGGCTACTGCTACAAATTAATCTCCTGTTTCATTTGTTTAAGAGCTTGTTGTTGTTCAGGATCGCATTTAAAATCATTCTTCTTCTGAGTCACAAGATAGAGAGAACTCACAATCTGACTCTAATATGGACTATGCATTTGCCAAAAACTCACAGTATGTAGGACAGCCTGTGTGTCCTTGCTGATGCTTGGTGGGGACATAGTTGCTATTTTGCTAATTATGTCCATTGGAATCTGACAATGTCCATCCTCCCATTTTACTTCTGAAAACAGAATTTCCAGCACAAGCCTCTAAACCTTACTTTGACTGATGGCAGGACTGGCCTTCAGGAAGATTTGAATTATCTTCTCCCCTTTTTCAAAAGCTTCCTCTGCTGTGTTGTCTCACAAGTTGATGTCATTAATGTATTGCAAATGTTCTGGAGCCTCTCCCTTTTCAGAGCAGTCTGGATCAGTCCAACACAAATACTGTGGCTGTATTTCCACCTCTTGGGCAGCTGGTTCCAGGTGTACTGGACATCCCTCCAAGTGAAAGCAAACTGTGGCCTGCCCTTTACTGCTAAAGGAATAGAGAAAAACACATTTGCAATATTGATGGTGGCACCACTTTGCTGTCCTGGACTCCAGCTCATACTAAAGTTCCAGCACTTCTGGCACAGCAGTGCTCGGTGGTGGCGTGACTTCCTTCAGGCCACAATAGTCCACTGTCAGTCTCCATTCTCCACTGACTTACACACTGGCCACATAGGGTCATACAAGAGTGAGCAAGTCTTGCTGGCCACTCCCTGACTCTGCAGTGCAAGAATCACCATATGGATGGGGTCATGGAGTCCTGGTTGGTGTGATATTGCTGATACTGCACTGTTGTGGCAGCCACCAGTATCTGTTCTTCTTCAATCCTCAGCCACCTCACAGCAGAAGGGTCCTCTGAGAGACCAGGCAAGATGTTCAGTGGCCCAACTTCCTCTGTCTCAACGGCTGTCCCAAAAGCCTAATTTTTGGGTCATTGAAATACACTCTCCTGAGGGTATTTCCCAGGAGATCCTCTGCCCAGGATGCACAGGGCCTCTGGGCCAGTCACAGTGTTTGCCATTTGTTCCCAGTCAGAGTCACTTCAGTTTCCAGTACAGTCATGTGTTGGGATCCTCTTGTCACCCCAGAAATAGAGACGGATTCTGCCCCTCAATATCTTGATGGCATCAGGGTACATTGTGCTCTGGGGTCAACTAAAGCCCAATACTCCTCTGAGTCTGATGAGCCAAGGCCATGACGCCCACAGAGTCCAATAGATCTGACTGTCCCTTTCCCCTGGACGAGAAAGGACCTGGCTGAATGAAAGAACACTCTAATTCTGGTCAAAGAACTGTTCACGTCTTGTAAATACAAGCTGAAAGCCCCTTCAAGAGGACTGAAAGTAACATCAGCCCTCCTATTCT